AACATCAGATGTAAATGAGCCTTGGATTATTCTGTGTATCCAGATACAATCGGTAAATATGTATAGCACATAGAGGTCAATTTATACCCTATTTAGCAACTCTGATGACATAAACTGCTATTTTTTCTTGTAGAAGCTGCTCAAGGGTGGAGTAGTCATTAAGAAGCAAACTGGTCCCACAGAGTTACCCCATCAGAGCCCCCACATGGGGCACACAGGGTGACTCTGAAGGCAGCTATATGGGAAACCCCACAACCTTACAGGGAACTGTTGAGTTCTCCCCTCAAAAGAACTGAAGCCAACCCTGGGATCCACAGTGCAGTCATGTGGGCAGGGGAAGTGCCCAGGTGGTCATGGCCTGGATGTAGAATTAATCAAAACGAGGTCATTTTTTCAAGTGTGAGGTTCACTCTCATGTTAGAAACATGTTTTCCTTTGCAGCAGAAAGTTTAAATTACACTTCATGTAAACATCTCAACAATACAAGCGATGACTGCTTGTGACTTATGTGAGAAGGAAGCTTCCACACATAGAGACAAAACATTGTCTTTACACAAGGATCACATCTGGAAAATTATGCAAAGTAGGACAAAAAAAGCATTATCTTTTCAACCAAAATTTTCTGAAAAATTCTCCAGTTGCATATTAACTTTTCAATACAGCACCAGCATTTGAGAAGTCCAGGTGTTATGAAAGGCAAACTACAGTAGGTCAGTGTTTCCAGTAGTGAATTACCATCAGATTCAGTTTCTCCACCAGCTCCTCTGAGGTTTCAGATCTGACAGTAGATGGGAAGCATAGGATATGAACCTGCATCTCCTGTTTTGTGGTACTGGAAACAGTAGTTTCCCCTTAGCACTGATGTGGCTGCCAGGTAGATGTATCTTTTAGCAGGAACCTGGAGCCCGACTGCTCCAGGTAGTGATGCAGTGGCTTTCCTGACTTATTTGCCTGATTGCAGATCACCTACAGTGGACCTTGCCAATTTTTTGATCTGCTAAGGCCTCATGTGTCTATATCACAGCCTCTGCCTGCTGTTATTGGTAGAAGAAGAAAGCATCTAGACAGGTCTTACTTCAGTCTTAGTAAGTACAGCAGCATTTTTTCACATCACCCCCTATGTCCTGTTGGCCTTTTAATGTGAGGTCCTTTCGAGCAGTAGTTTTTGTTACAGAGATTTAATAAGGCACCTGGTTGACAGAGCTGTACTGCCTGCTTGGGGCCTCTAGGAATATTAAATCTTAAGAGCACATGGAAACAAAGACAGCTTTTCAAAGGTCTCTACAGCCTCCGCCAAAGTGACCTGTCAGGGCTTCATCTCAACCTGACATTTTGACAGTGCTCTTCAAGTAAGAACTGAGAAGACTGGATTTTGTCAGAACTTGACTTGAAAGGATTTTCAACAGTTCCATTTCTTATTTATTCCCTTCTGGCAATAAAAGTTTTACATGTGAGAAATCTCATGAAGCAGAAAATCCAGCTTTTAAATGGCATTCCCTCTTGGTTACAGAGGATACTAGAGTGACTAAGTCCATATCATAGCTTCAACATGATTTGGCTGCTCACATTCCCTGCAGGAAAGTTGTGTAATTTCTCAGGATTATCTGGATGACATAATTTTTTAAAAGTTGCATTCTGAGACTGCATAAAACTTCCATCACCTTCTAACATAGGCAACATATTTTTAATACAAAACAGACCCCTCAGCTGGGTAAGGAATACAGTATGAAGTAAATAATGTAATATTTCTTTTGTGTTCTACATTATAGCACAAGATATTAGAAACAATACTCTGGCACAGTAGTGCTGACACCTTTGAAAATGATTTTGTGCTGGTTCACTCACCAAATTTGCCTTCCGTGGAAGAAAAATATTATGAAGCCACTTAGGGGGAAATGAGTTCTAGAGGTAGTTAATCACTACCTGTGCAAGTGCAAGGTGTGGGATGCGAGATAGGACTCACAGGCAGCAAACAGCAGGCGAGACACTGAGAGAATGGATATTCTGAATGCCATTAATTTGCATTGAGTATATGGGGGTAGAAGAAGTGGTCTGGTTAATTAAACTGTATCATTGAAATGTATCCAAAACAGTTTTAGTTTAGCATTAAAATCAGCTTTAGCCTACATTCCACATGGGTTACATTGAGATAATTTATTCTGTATCTGAAGAAGTTCAGATATAGACTATGCAGTAACACTGGCTTTGAAGAGCAGAGTTACTTGTGAAAATATCTGTATGCCATTCCAGTCTCTTCACTCATTTGAAAATACCAGTACAGAAAAAAATTAAAGGATGAGATTCATGGAAGGCTGATTGCTACAAGAGGCAAAAGTAAAGTGGCCTGCTTTTCACCTCTAAGTATCTGTAATGAAAACCACTGGAGTTGGATTCTATCTATTTAGTCCTTTGTGTTCATCTAGTAAATCACAATGCAAGCCAGTAGGACTAGCTCTGACTTTGAATATGAGCAGTGATGTATGCCTGTGCTGATGAACACTGATGGGATGGATAGAAGACTAAAATAACATCTGTTTGATCAGCACCTGTCTCTATTCACTTTTATTATCTTCATCACATTCCCCAAACAATAAAATGGGTATTATTTGTGTAGATAATACATAAGGGAAAGGAGTGCACTATACTCACAGATGGTAGTCCTTCATCTCAAATTAAAATTATCATCTTTTGGTAACCCAAAATTTGCTTAAATGAAAGCAATAAAGACCATAAGAGTGCAAGGAACAACCTTATTGTAGAATGTCTACCCTACTTTTTTAGGGAAATAAAATATTACCTTTAACTATTTTTTAAACTTTAATTTCATTTGAGGTTTTACCATCTGTGTGTCTACTGAACTCTTCCCTGTGCTCTTAGTAAGGTGATTAGTTTCTTGACTTAGAATCTAGAAATAAAGCAGGCTGGAGAAATGTTGCACAGAACTTTTCAAATTTGACTTTAAAAGAAAATTTTAATACCTGGAAAGTTACAGAGCTCTTCAATGTGAAGTGTATATATACACTTCACGTAAGTGTATATATATTGGTGTGTGTATATATATATACATATTATATATATATATATATATACTCAGATTTTCTACTTTCTGGAATATTCCATTAAAGGAGAATGAACAGAAGTACCCTAGAAAAGTTGTCAATAATTCCAAGAATGTTTAGATAAGAATATGGCTCACTGAAAGCACTACTGATTATCTGAAATCTTGAGCTTGCAGTCAGATTTATGATCAAGGGAATTATCATCTTTTCACTCCCCAGAACAGTTCTGCACTTGTGACCTGGAAGCATTCAGGACAAGATGAATCTTGTAAGGGTTTTTAGGACCAGCTCCTGAGAAACCACAGCCACAGAAGAACAGAAAGTATCCAAGCCATACAATGCAAAGACAGTTAATTTTGTACTTAAGTAAAAACCCTGTATGAAAGTGTTTTCTCACTTCTGTTACTCAGTGTGTGAGGCACTACAGGGACAAGAAGGAATTAAGTATCGGTAATGAAAGTGCCTGTTACAAAGACGTTGCTTTGTGTCCTATTCCTAAGCAAAAGAGCTGCAAGCACAGAGACCAATGGACACCCAGAAACTCTAATAAAATTGAAGTCTGAGGATATTTAGTAATCATATCAAATGTTTGTCACACCCTCCACACTTCCTGCCACCTAGCTTTTTAGTTTACTTCATTTCCACCAGTTATAATCCTAGGTCCTTTGTGATCAATATGGTGTACAAATTAGAAAACCATGGGATCACATGTGAAACAAGGCTCTTAAACAGGATATGATAAAACAGTTGGTGAAAATGGAATATCGTGAAAGAAATAGTCATTCAGATCAGAGATCTAAAAGAGGCGATATATAAAACATTGATTTAAAATAAATATTTTAAATTTCCATCTACTAACCTCTCCCAAAAGCATACATTGCTTTTCGGTATGCAGTTCCAACATGAAATTTCAAAGCATGTAAAATTCCTAATAAGAAACCATATACTAATAAGAGACAAGTAAATTCAGATGCAAGCTAGCTGACAGGCCACAAAATGCAAAACACCAAGAAAATAAGCATCTATTTTGTCTCTCTTTGTAATGTCTCCTTCATTTGTAATAACTGGTTTTAGTATCCTGCTACAGACAATAAAATAGATACCTACAAAACTGACTGCAGATAGGTGAAGTATCATTAATTAAGAGATAATACCCCTTGAAATCACACATTGCCAGCAGTTTTCAGTTATGATCCATTAATATTTTAACTAGCAAGTCATTAATAGTGGTAATAACCAATTCTAAAGAGATTATTGCTTGAATAAACTATTTTTAATGATTTTAAATATTCTGAAAAGCTTGGTCTGTCTTAACTTTAAATTTTGATCCTTTTTAATGCCTGTGTAAGAAGAGCAACTTCTATTCACACTGAAATAAAAGCATTTCTGTGAGTGCTTAACACAATCTTACATGGAATTTGTTCACAAGTTGTACAGCAAAAGGTCTCTCCTGCCTGTATTATTATATCTGTGATGTTGATAGTCAGACATGCCTTCTGTAATCTGCCTTCTTTCTTTTCTGATGTCTGCTGTATAGCTTGCCTTGATCAGGGAGGCCTGAAATACTTCAGTCATAACCTCTAATCCAATCTCTTGCATCAAACTGTGGCTCTCTTTTGATTTAGCTGGGTATGTACAATTACTCTCAGGTGAGCTTCTGAGGGGCAAAGAGATATAGTTTACTCCAGGCAACATTATTTTTGTGCCTGTACACAGAATAAGTCTAATATTTAGGCTCTGTCCCTCTGTATCTATTAAAATACTGGAATTTATTTTACAGGTATCTCCCCAACAAGGTTAAATCATATAACTCTGGAGAAATAAGTTGACACAAAAATGTATATTTCATGAGAATGGTCCCAGGCCTATATCATGTTCATACAAATATAGCTAGGGATAGGAAAGACAGATAAGAAAAATAAGACATAAAGAGTCTCTTACCCCTCTGGAAAGCAGGGATCACTTTCCCACAGGAGATGGTATTTCCCAGCTTTGATCCTATCGGGCTAGCAGGAAAGAAATCGTATCTGTTTTATGACACTCCCAAGTTCCCTTCTCTAAACCTCTACTGGAAATACAGCTTTTTAAGCAGTCAATCATTTCCTTGACTCAACAAAGGTATAAAAAATTTACAGACAAAATCTTGGCCTCTCTACTTGTATTATAGACAAGAGGAACAGGATCTAACACTGCGCAGAAAACAGATCCAGGAGCAGGCAGATAGCATCAATGCAAAGAATATAAGATTTTCCCATATTTTCATTTTCTCACCCTCATTAAATTATAGTCTGTCTTTATAAATGGTCATTTTAGCCAAGATGTATACAGAAGTTAAGTCTTTGTAACAGTTTTCTGTTTCTAGAGACATAACGCCTCCTTTCCAATTTGGCAATTATTTTGCATTGTCAAGAACAAAAAATTTTCTGGTGGGCAGGTGTTTTATTGAGGCTCCATCCCACAATATTGCAGGAATAGATGTTTCCTGTATTTGGCCTGGCAGTTCCTGAGGGTAGAAATGCTGTCAAACACAACCCAGCAGTATTGTGAGAGGGATTCTGTTGAGGAGTCAGTCTAATCTCAGTCATTTTAGCATCTCATAGGGGATGATTGCACACAAAAATGTGAGAATGCATGAGGTCTCTTCCACAAATAATGCATATAGAATCAATTGGCACCATCTGCCCCTCAAAGCAATGCTTGTATGCATTATCAATGTACTATCCAAGAAAATAAAGGCATGAATGAACCAGTATATTTGATCTTTTGAGACAGAATTGGCATTGAACACAAACAATACAATTATTTCCACCGCCCCTTTTCGTGATTCCTCAGAAGCCCAGGTAATTGCAATGTCTGCCAGGAAGTCCACAGCTTTACTGTATCCAGGCTTTGATGCTTTGCTTCTTCCTAAAGATGCATCAGTAGCACAGATCTTACAGGTTCAGACTGTTCCCAACAACCATAGTATGCCTTTCTCCGATTCCTTCTCTAGCTGTCCTTTTTAAGAGAGCTTTTTGCAAAGATTGATGCCTCAAGTTTTAGCTTTCATATTTTCCAGATTGTGTACTGCATTAGTATATAACTCTGAACTTCATATAAAGTAGTTCTCCAATACAGTTTAGTTAGACAAAACAATCCTTTTCCAGCCCGAGAACCAAGGACATCACTGCAGCTTCAGACCCAAAAAGTATAAACAGGGAGTTGAGGTGAGCTATTTGGGAGGATGGGACTCCATAACCTGAAGCTGTAATTGGACAATTGTCTCCAAAATGTAAATGGACCAAAACTTCTAAAAGTGTGAAGAGCTGTGGCCTGTTGTCCATCTTGGGTGTAGCCATGGCCAGGCTCTTCTACTGTCCAGGATGTATTCTTTGAAAACCTTTTAATAAATACCTACTTTATTCCTCTAACATTGTCTACCCTCTGTTCTAGGTTGCCTCTTGAGGCATCAAGATAATAGCTCCATTTCCATATAGAAAAAAAAAAACATTCCTAGAAAGACATTTGCAGATAATAGACAAGGTATAAGAGGTTTATATATTAACTCATAGCAGTCTGGTAATTATTACACTGGGGGAGGGGAAGGGTGATTTAAACACTGGTAATATGACAAGGAATCTCACTTCAAGTCTGTTAGATATGATTCTTCCAAGTCAGTAGAGACTGAAGGATATTACCTTGTCCTGTTTGGACAAGTTACTTGGTGGCTTGCGAGGCAGTGTTGACAGGCAGTCAGTGGCAGACTTACAAACAGAAGTAAAAAAAAATACAGAATAATTTCTTCATTCTTCCCTCTTCTGCTAGGAAATACCAAAGCTCATCCCATTCATATACATCTAGTTTTCTGCTTTTTAAAAGGAAATATTTTATGGTGAGAAGCCTTTGCTTTCAAACCTAGAAAGTTTATCATTGAGAAAAAGCCATGGTTTCTGGATGAGTGAGTAGAAGGCTGTGGTTTCACCTCATGGTCCTGTGTATGTCTCATTGAAATGCTAATCCAAGACTAAGAAAGCCATCATCGTATAAATACAGATGACAACACAGCAAACACAACAAAATACAGAATGGGGAAGCCTCACTGCTAGAGTTCATTCACCATAACCTCCAGGTTATGGTGAAGCATATATATTCATATGAGGAAATGTGTTAGGCTCCAAAAGCAATTATATTAAAATTTAAACCTGTTGCAGTGGGGAGAACAGAAACCAGGAAAGTGAGGTCAGGGTAAGAAGGAAGTTGTTTTCTCTCCTTTCCCTGTTTTTGCTGGGTAGAAGAAGATTTTAGTTGCCATAGCTGCCAAGAGTCAGTGATGCAAATCACTAAAAATAACTCTTACCGCTCAGAAAGATACAGATCTTACAGATCAGGCAAAAATGAAGTCATTCCTTCTGTTATTTACTCGCTTTCTGCCTCCTTCTCCAAAAATACTCCCAAAATGGAAGCAGGATATTAAAGCAGCTAATATTTTGTGATGTTTTATACCTGACCTGCTTCAGACACACCTTTAGATTTGCAGTCTCCCATGCACAGACCCCTGGAAACAGGACACAACTCTATGAAAAATACTTGCAACCCACTCTGAGGTCCATCCTCCAGAAGTAATTTTCAACCCACCTAGTCAGAAAAAGCATTACATGTTTGATGGGAAAGGATCAGGACTTACCTCAGGAATAAAAAGGATGATAAATAAGGATGAAAAAGAAATCAGATCTGAAATGCGTATGTGATACGGTGAATCTTGTCCTGTATCAATCTGCTCAAGGCCACCTTTGCACAGCAACACAACAGCAATGGTAAAACACCAGCTGTTCCAGCAAGATTGGTTGACATCTTCAGAGAAAAGACCTGTCTGTGGTGCAGCATGCTCTCATTGTGAGCTTCTCTGCAAGACTGCATAGCTAGGGCACTTAGTGCATAGTTGTGAAGTAAGCAGTGTTTCCAATTTTCTTTTTAACTCATCTTTACAATGATGCTGTCAACTGGAAATGAAGAAGGAAGGCGGCAATGAAGCAAGAATATTCAGCCACAGCTGAGAACAAAAAAAGTTGGGGTAAATGCCAGCTACAGGTAGACGAAAAGAAAACGTTTATAAATATGTCAATGAAAAAAAAAATGAGGGAAAGAAAGCAAAATAGAAAAAGATGTTTTAAAAATAACCAGGCACAAAAATGTCTAGAGACTGAAATATACTGCTGAGGTTGAATCTATTTTTCACAACAGAATAATAGGTAGAAAAGCTGAAGAGCTACACAGACATAAAATTCTGCAGGTTTTTTTATACTTTATACCAGTCATGGGTATTTGGTTGATGCAAAAGTCTGCGCCACAGTTAGAGGGTGACTGGGAACTGAATATTTTGGGATAGTACCTAGAAATCTACCTGTGCATAATTTGAATGTTATCTCTGATTAAATTGCCTTTCTTAAAACTTCACTTACTAGAAAAGGGAAGACATTAGTTACTAAATACTTGAACTGTATTTACCTTTAGAAGAGCTAGCAGATAGCTTCAAGTTAAAACTACTGCCTGATCATGCTGCTATCTGCAGAGCTCAAAGTAGTCTGTGGTTATAAGCAACCTGATCTAGTGGGTAGCATCCCCCATGGTGGGGGAGATTGGGACTAGATGGTATCTTCAAGGTCCCTTCCAATCCATGATTCTATGATTTTGTCACATAGCTCCATGATGTGTGATGTGCAGAGGGCATGGGCAGAGGCTGGGGCTTTGCAGAAAACTGGATATAGTTTGCTGTAGATGTAAATTAATGACCCATCTTCTAGATCACTGGTCTTTTTTGTGGCTTTCATCGCAATTTCTTCTTTTGTGCTTTCCACAGCTTTAATATTGTGTGATCCTACTGCTAGTAACTGGAGCAGAAGCTGCTCTCATTGCTGATAAGTACTTATATCACCATATATTTATTACTCATTCTCTCTTTTCCTTGTTACTGGCCCAAACATCTGGTATATATTTGTTGAGATAAAAAGATGCTAAGTACCTATTAACCTTGCATAGAGCCTTCTTTGAAAGACATCTCTTATGTAAAAGGAAAAAAACCGAAACACATTCCCTTCAGTCTTCTACCATAACCTCTAAGAACTCTTTGAAGACAATTTCTGTAAAACCAGTAGACTCTGCCAGTGTATTTCCATGTATGCTTGGATTCTGTGTTGCTTAGTGAGATGACTTTTCAGTCATGGCAGCAAAACTTGTAAATGTAAGCAAAGTCACAAAAAACCAAGGAATTTCTACTGGCTGTTCACCTCTTATATCAAGAGCAATATCAAGATGCCTGTTCTGGAAGAATAAGTGTACAGGTGATGTGAGGTACCCTTTATGTAACAACCTTACAGATGATGTGGTCTACTTGAATCCACACTAAAAACTGCCTTCTATATGTAAGGGGAAAATACCTCACATGCTTATCAAAACCAATAAGAAGTCAAAACTTGGTTAATTGCCACTGGTTTCAAGACAAGAGGTGCACTATTGTGATTTAATGCAAGTATTACATGAGAATTCGAGAGCAGACCTATGCGATTTAACTTATCACTGCATTCTGTGATGTTTCCTAAATCTCTGGATGTCTGAAGCACAGTCTGTATCAGAGATATGGATTTTGGTGAACCTGTTATATAGCAAATTAACATACAGACTAGATTTATGTGGAAGTCCACAAAAAAGAGTACTGCCAGGCACTGCAATCCAGAGAGTTTGAGAGTCAGAGGAATGGGGCATGGATGTGAAGTGGGAAGTGCAGAGCCACAGAGACCTAAAGTGGGACTAATATTTACTTTACCACCTTTATTGACAGTCATGAAGACTGCAAAATAAAACCACATTCATTAAATTTGCAGATGATGCTAAATTGGGAGACATTATACAAGTCAGGATCAAGAAATGTAATATAGAGCAACTCAGAGAAATACAGGCTGAGAATACCAAAAGGAGATTCAGCTTGTTAAAAAGCAAACTAATGCATGCCAAAAGGGAAGAATAACTTGGGCTGGGGGAAGCCACAAATTCAGTAGAAGGCAAAAGCCTCAAGCTAACAGTGGGAAACAAATTACATAGGAGCACTCCCAACAGGATGGGTGCAACGGGTAGCACAGTTGTGGGCTGCAAATGCAGAGGCACTGGCCCATAATCTGAGAGATTCAAGCCATCAGGTTTTATGAGGGATACCAATTAGCTTTGAGACAAATATACATGACAACCCCCTAACTCAGATGTATTTGTGAGGTGAAATTTCTACAGATAGCTTCTGGTGTGTAAATTGTCTCTGGCATTTGGGGTACAGAATCTGAAAGCAAGGCAAAGTGTAGTGAACTCAGAGACACAGTAGTGCTTCAAGGATGGTAGAAGGTGATAAAGGACACTTCCATGACCTATGTATGACACAGCAAAGTCCTACAAATGCCTGAAGAAAAAGAGCAGTTAAATCCTGCAAATGAATCACATCTAGTCCTGTTGTCATCTTTATTAAGATGCAAGAACAAAAAAAAAAATATATTTACTAGCATAAACTAGTCATAATATCTGGAAGATCTTACTTGTGGAATGTTTTTTGAGTAGGGGTGATGAAGAAGATGACTTTGGAGAAGCAGCCCTGAATGGATAGCATGGTTATGACAGAAAAAACCTTTTCCTTCTTTGATACTTATATTAAGTTTGAAATATCTGTTTCACAGCTGTGTGTTCTAATATTTACTTCTGTGAAGTAAACAGACATTCAAGAAAATTAAAACAAAAGCAATAAAAGAAGAAGAAACTTATATGGAATCAGCATTGAAGTACAGGAGCAATGTTTAAAAGAATAAAACAACCACTGAACTAAAAAAAAACTATTAGACCTCATGTTGTCAACTACAACTAAAGTGAGCCAATCATAATAAAAAAAATAAAGATGTTGAATTGCTTCAAAGTTCATTCTGTATGAAAATCAGGAAGCTGTGGGGATGATACACAGGGGAATGTGATCAAATATGGATTAATATCCTACATGACCAAAGGTTCCATATGCCATCTCACAATGGATACAGCAAGAGTGAAAATGGCCACTGGGGATAAAAGGAAATTACTAAAACAGAAGGACATTCAGAATTATAAATTATGCTGTATGAAAAACTATATGACAAAAGCTGGAAGACAGTATATGTTTCAGTTCAACAACATGGGTTACTACAGAATGCTAAATACAAGAATAAACAAGAATGTTTATGAAATCCTTTGGTTTCTAACTAAGCTAATCAGGTACATGACAAAACAGTAAGATATTTTTTCTGGGGCTTTCAATTTTACTCAGGTTAAGAGTTCCAGTTGAGGTTGAACAAACAGCGTGAAAAAGATTGTATCCATGAGTGAGTGTGTTCTTGATTTGTCTGACATTATTTATGCCTTGCTTAACTATTTCTGCATTCAGATATGAATGGAAACACATCCCATGTTATTAAAAAAATGTCCCCAAGCAAATCTCAGCTGGTAAAACTTATAAGCATTTTGTCTCAAACAATCTTGGATGGTAGATTTGAAATTTTAATTTGAAAAGCTAAGCCACTAGCACATCTGCACTTGGTGGAATAGGTATGTGAACATTGCAGCTGATTTTGTGTTGTGTATGTACTTAACTTTATGCCTGGCATGTGGTGCCTTTGCCTTCAGCTCAAAGAGGAGCTCACTGCAGCTCCTGGCAGTGAGTGGAACATCCTCTGTCAGGTCAGAGTGGGTCCCAGCCTGCAATGAGACCATGCTGGCCCTCCTGGTCCTTGGGCACATTTCACAGTAAGATAGGGTCTTTCCAAATGCAGTTTGTGATCAAAGGCTGTCTCTGGGGGAAAACAAATCAAGCTTTTATGTAGTTTTCAGATAGTTAGAAGCAGTTCAGGCTTGTTAAATAACAGAAAGAATTTCTGCAGAATTCATCAAATATGAAATACATTACATACAATACATTATCATTACATGATAATGAAAATTTAACTGATTTCTAGAGCTTACTTCAGTTCCCCTACTGTTTTCTCTACAGAATAAGGCAGCAAGCAGCTGCAAGCTACCCTACCTTTTGTATATCCTCAGTGAAATATTTGCTTAGAGCAGGCAGAAAACCACTGACATTAGAGGAGCCGCAGGGGTGTCAATGAGGGCACAATTATAAGTCAGTGTGTTACGCAGTCATCTCAGGGGGACTAATTTGGCCTGCAGGTCTTTATTGCTGCTGATGGTAGGCAAAACGGTGGGAAGTTAAGGCTGACAGTAAAAGCCCACAGTGACCACAGGAATGGTAGATACAAAAGCCATCTTTTTGTTTGTAAGCTATGCCTGTTTCATGAAAAGACAATAAACATAGGTCTATTTTTACAAAGTCATTGTTTTTTCAAAACAGAGGTGAATTTAACTATACCTCACACAAAACCCCTTGCAAAATCTCCCAGTTTTCTGCTCCTGCAGGGAATCTTTCTGAAGCCAGGCTGTAACTTTGATCTTTCTTGTTATAGCCATGACTACTTAGTTATAACTAAAAGCTTTAGAGACCCCACTGCTTCTGCACCACGATGTGATTTTAAATGGCTTCTAGAGAAAAGATAACTGAGATTTATGGTTCAGTAGTTTGATTACAGCATCATCCAAAACCTTAACATAGAGTTACACAGTAAGACACTGGGCAGGGTGGAAAGCACGAAGAAGGAGGTACTGCTAGAGAGGGTTGCAGCAGGACAGGGAAGAAGACATAGAAACAGGCTTCTGTTCCTCTCCACACAGGTGGTACATGTCATATATACATATATGAATGTATAAATCCCAATTGTTCATCTAGGGACTTATGGTATAGAGATTTTAAGAGTTCAGATCCTACAGTGCTGAAGCCCAGCGTGGGCCCACACTCAGCCGTGCACAAACCTGAACTCAGACTCAGCACAGATCTCCTATCTATCTCTTGCTCTGCTCAGGACACACCTGGAAAGAAGACTGAAGTATTTCTTTGCCTCACATCAGCTGATATAGTATTTGGAAATGGGCAGGAGAAAGACAGAAGGTCACAGGAGGAGTCTACTTGGCATATAAGTGTGCCCTTGGGTATATTATTAAGTACAACCTGTGGATGTTCCCAGGCATTTCAGAAGAGTGGT